TATCACACAGATTTTTGCTTGCCTATCATGCACGATCGTTTACCTCACACGATCATGTTAAATAAGCAAGTCACACATATTTATACATTTGATTTGGTATTTGTGCTTACCTAGCATAACATTCACACCTAAATCATCATTTTGTGCTTGAATTTAATTGCTCACGCCTAATTAGAGTATTCACATCATGAAAAACCACTTAGCATATCACTCATATCTGCTCACACATGGCTCGAGCCGTGGTGTTATACTAAACTACCATGCATTCTTACATCATTGTTGCGTTATTCAATATTGATGACAAATAACCTTTTTTTATACATATGACCCAATGTTGATCATAATACTTTTATGAGCATTACTTACGAGTATATCTTAACGAGTAATTTGAATTATTACACTTCAATCAACATGTGTATGATTGTGTTAATGATTTAAGAGATATAATATATGTCACTTTGATCCATTTTTTAAAAAATTCATATTACCATTATCCATCACATTTTAAATATATTTTTAAACTAAAGCATCCATAATTTAGACAATACGTAAGTTCAAGCTTTAAAATGTATTTTACTTCAAATCCTTAACTTTCATGCCATGTATTAGATCTCTTAGATCTTTAGAATGACGATAGTGTTAGTGACCCCATCAAAACCATACAATAGCCTCTACCATATTTATGCACACAAATATGTATATGTAAATATAGCACTTTGCTCTAGATTTTTGCTAAGAATAAGGTAGAGTGTAGTTAGGTTTTTCTTATGTATGACTATTATTTCTTGATTTGCACATAAATAGTTTTTGTATGATGCCATTCGTGTGTTTACTAGGTGTGAGACTTGCACACTAGTAAATTAGGGGTGATCTTATTGTAGGGAGCCATATACAAAAAGGAGGAGTAATCATGATTTAAGCTAAATCTTTTCTACATACCCTACTTAGTTCTTTTCTCATCAAGCATAATTCATTACACGATTGCATGAAAAAACATGTGCAAACATTTTCATTGTAGGATGAGTTTTTTAAAAAAATTTCACAAGTATGTTGCCTAAAGTCCTTAGGTTGGAGTTTGCATCGTAACTAAAATACAAGCACGGGTTTCAAGACACTTGAAGTGCGAAACCACATGACGAGGACCAAATGCAGCATGCCTGTGACTCATACCTTAACTTTGAATTCATATTGTTGTATAAAATGTATGATCATACATGCATATGCGGGGTTTGATCACTATTTTATCTTTTTGGGATATGTTGCCCACCCAATGACCATGACTTGTTTATTTTTTTTTTATTCATGAGTTTTGCTGATTTTTATGCTGCGTGTTGAATTTTCTCTTTATTCTAATTGTGGTTTGTCTGGGCTCTTTGCATTTGTGCTTAGGCTCTTTAGGATAAAAATCATTTCTACAAAATCCTAATAAAAGATTTATCTTAATTAAAATTTAAGATTAAACTTGAACCAATTTTAAAATCAGCAATTAACTTTATGCTTTACATTTCTTGCATGGCTTTTGGGTTTAGATTTAAAATGGTTCTGCATACATGGACATATCTCTAGTCATACCAACAAGGCCTCCACATTAAGAACTTCTTTAAATAATTGCATCATATTTACATGTTCCGAGGAGGAGTACTATCGCTCTTCCTAGCTAACTAGCCAAGCATATGTTTACACGCTCGGGTGGTTGTCTAGAATGACTATAATGTTAGAGTCTCCCCAACCCATACAAGATGCAAGTCTTTTGTTTGATGGTTCAGCTTTGTAGCCAAGCCATTTTTTTCTCTTTCATTCCAGAGGCTTTTTGACTATTTTCTTCGTATGTATAAATCTCACCTCTATGAATTCCATCCAATTAGGGCCATAGGAAAATAGATGTTTCCTTCTCTTGACTTTAGAGCTATCGAAATTTCTTTAACGATGCAACACATAAGTTGCTGATAATGGATCTTTGGTAGGGTTGGGTGGACTACCTCCATAACGAGGTAGATTTAGATCTTAATAGCTTTGGATGATAGATCTAGGAAATCTTAACCCGACTATCTCTACCTATTTAGGATTTTTTTGACCTATTTTATTGATACACCTCCTTAAGCCCATTTTATTTCTTTGACAAATCATTGATGTCATTTCGTAGGCTCAGTTTTTTCATTTGGTTGCCGCCCGTTTGGGATGACAATGTTAATCCTTGATATTCTATTCATTAGTTATCACAAAATGTAAGCATAATTTCATTAATAAAAGGTATTCTTAAGTATTCCCAAGATGTAATTAACCAAAAAGATATATTCCTTTGAGAGTTTCTCTCTCTTTTTGATTCCTCCTCTTCTCCAAATCATTTTGAGGGTCTAAGAAAAGGGTTATTTCAAAATTAAGAAATATAAAAAACAAATTAGATAAACCAACAACTCTGAATTAAGAAGAACCAAAACATGAATCCTCTCCCATGCTCAGCTCGTGTTCGGCTCGTTTATATTTCGAGCTCAAAAAGTGTGTTTGTTTTTGGCTCGTTTGCTTAACGAGCTGAACACGAGCTGTTCACCAACAAAGAGTCCTTTTAACAGCCCTAAGCATGTATCCATAAGACAATAAGAGTTTGAACAAGATTTAAATATTATTATTTATATTAAAACATCATTTGAATCTAATTTAATAATTTTTATTATATTTTCTTAATCAATATTTTAATTGATTATAAATCTTTATAGCCTTATAGTCAATTAAATTTTTTTATATATATAAACTTGATGAGTAGTATTTCGAGCCAAAACGAGCCGAACACGAACAAACACGTCTTAGTTCGTGTTCAGCTCGTAAACTTTTCGAACGAATTTAACGAGCCAAACACGAGCTTCTTAACGAGCCGAACACGAGTTGTTCGCGAACAACGAGCCGTTTTGACAACCCTAGCTGGACCTGGTGTAGGTTTGTGAAGCGATTGACTTCTAATGTCATTTTGAACCGAAGACCTAGCAAATGCTTCTCGCTCCTGTAGCTGCCGACCATCGTCGACTATCATTTTTCAACCACAGCTTACCAAGCATCGTCGACCACCGTCGACTGCCCCATGCAGAGTCCAAGAGGTATGTTATGGAGTAACGAAACACTATGCAGAGTAACCATCAACACCGAGGAGTAACGAAACATCTTACAGAGCAGTGCATCGTCTAGAGCATGATGCAACAACGTGCTGTATAGGCTCTATACCGAGCCTCCGCAATTACTCTCAACTGCTACTGCTCACGACAGCTATTGCAAAATGATTCCTTTGGCCTACAAACATTGTACTATGTAACTTTTTCCCACCTTTGGGAGAATGACATGAACATGCAATCATTAACTTAAAGTAGATCATTTCAGTTGGGCTATGCCCCATTGCATTTTTTTTCGAGCTTTTCACATAAAAAAACTTATACTATATCTACCAACTATTTTTATGATCCGAGTGTGAGATGGACTTTTGTTCAAAGCTAAGATGCTAAAAACAACTCTAATGTCATAAATCTCTCAACATATATCAACAATACAAATAATTTTTTATGTGACGTTAAAATTTTGAATGTCATGCATATCACTATGAAAATTTAGATGTTAAAAAATAAAAAAAAAAGAAAACAAGATCTAAAAAAATGGAAGGAACTCAGATGAGTAAGGCATCAGATCAACTCACGGTAGACTAAAAAATTGATGAGCCACCAGCGGCTAAAACTGGGCAGCAATCATCAAAATACCATGATCATTTCCAACATTTCCTCACAGTTCCTTAACATACAAAACAAATATAACGAGAAAGAGGGGAAAAATAGCCATTAAACTCGGTGAAAGCAAAAATGGTACAAGTCGAGATATTTCATAGGAGAAAACGCCATCAAAACTAGGCCAAAGCTATAATCAGGAAACCCTAGCAATCTTGGAAAGAGAAGAGGATTCAAGAAGCAAAGATACCAGCGATCTGAGTTCCGAGTTCATCGTGCTAAATAACGATGTCAAACACCAACACCGTCCCGTCTCCACCTCGAAGCAGTTGAAAACCCTAGCGCGAGACTTATTGGCTCAGTCACGTATTATATAGATCCGAACTCCGAACCGAAGCTTGCTCCGGTCTCAGTAAAATAAACTGTGGGATTCTGAAAATTCGGATTCGGTAGGTTTTGAAAAATTCCGTAAATTCTAAATTTTACTGAACATTTCAACTCATTTGAGATTTAGTAAATCCGATTTTACAGAATTTACTAACTCCTGATTAGGGCTGTAAACGAGCCGAGCTCAATCCTCAGGGTCGGCTCGTTCGGTACCAGCTCGTGTTTGAAATCAGCTCGTATTCGAAATGATTCATGAAGGGTGTGTTGGTGTTCTGCTTGAGTTTGACTCAAATTCGGCTCGAAATTGGAGGAATCAAAAAAGGAAGATGTCTCAGAAGAGGAAGAGGAAGAGGAAGAGAAAGAGAAAGATGAAGAACAAATCCTAAGCTCTCGCCGTCGAAACTTATGACTCAGAAGAGGAGGAGAGCGGCGAACACAAACGACAAATCCTAAGCTCTCGTCCATTGCCTTTCACGATTTTGAGAGGAAGGAGTCGGAAGAGGGAGAAGCAGCCGCCAAACGCCTTTTTCACGATTTTGAGAGGAAGGAGAAGAGTCGACGAGAGCTTAGGGTTAGATATATATATAAGTTATAATATATATATATATATATATTATAACTTATATATATATCTAACCCTAAGCTCTCGTCGACTCTTCTCCTTCCTCTCAAAATCGTGAAAAAGGCGTTTGGCGGCTGCATTTTTTTATTTTAAAAAAATTTAATTAATTATAATTTATAATATTTAATTTTATGAATATGTATTATGTATATGTGTATATTTATTTATTTATTTATTTTCGAGACAATTTAAACTGAATGCAAGCGAACAAATGTTTGTTCGTGTTCGGCTCATTTATATTTCAAGCTTAAAATTTTTTTTATATTCGGCTCGTTAAATTTAACGAATGAGCCAAATACGAGCTGCTTAATGAGCCGAACATGAGTTGTTCGCGAACAACGAGATAAATTGACGGCCCTAGTCCTAATACTTTTAATCTTATATGTTGCCAGGAAGCAGTGGCCCAACTTCAGCTAGAAGCATCCGTTTCTAAGTGACTCTGGCCATGACCACCACCTGTTCGCCAAAATGCCTGACCCAAAAATTATCTCGTGGACGCGCACGATATCTTCTTACATCAAAAACGGCCACGCAGAGCTCGGGCTGCGGGAATTTCGTCGGATGTGCGAATGTGGTCTGAGACCTTCCGAGTATGGCTTATCGCTTGCTCTCAAGGCCTCCCGCCTTGCACGTGAACCTACCACTGGCATGCTTCTCCATGGCCGAACAATCAAAGCCGGGTTCGACGCCAATCCATTTTGCAGCACTTCCATTCTTGATATGTACTGTAAGTATGGTTACATGAATGAAGCTCGACTTTTCTTTGACCAAACTATAGTAAAATGCGAAGCTTTGTGGAATTCATTCATCGATGGATATTCGCGGCATTCAGATGCTCAAGAGCCCGTCGCATTGTTTCACCAGATGCTACTTTCTTGTACTTCTCCAAATTGTCATACTTATAGCATTTTCATCAAGTTTGGGGCAGCAAATTTTGACATTGGTTTTGCGAGATTCTTGCATGGTCGAGTTATTAAGATTGGTTTTGAAAGTGATTCTTTTGTTTGTTGCGCTCTTATTAATGCTTATGGGAAATTTCAGGAGCTAGCTGATGCTTGCAGCTTGTTCTGGGGTATGGAAGAGCGCGACGATGTTGTTTGGTGTGCATTACTAGCAGGTTTGCAGCAAGGTGGTGAGGCTGAGAAAGCTCTCGATGTGTACCTTGATTTTGTTTCAGATGGTCATAAGCTAGATCCCTTTATGTTTTCTACCTTATTTAATATATGCTCTGATTTGGGAGCTGTTTGGCTTGGTTTGCAGTTGCATTCTTGCTTGCTGAAGTCGGGGCATGAGATGGACGCTTTCATTGGGAGTGCTTTGATTGACATGTATGTTAGTTTTGGAATAACCCACGATGCATATAAAAGCTTCCTTGGAACGGCAGAGAAGAGTGGAGTGATCTATAGTACAATGATTCATGGTTTTGTTTGTGATTCAGAGTTTGTTGCTGCAGTTGATATGTTGATTTTGATGGGGAAGCTTGGCATGGTTTTTGATCGCTCTACCGTTGCTTCTATGCTGAGAGCTTTTTCAAGTCTAGATATGCTTGAAGAAGCCAGGGCTATCCACTGTCACATTGTGAAAACATTGGGGGAGAAAGATCTTATTATGGGAAACAGTCTTATAGAGATGTACTCAAATTTCCGGGCAATTGATGAAGCTGTTAAGGTATTCATGGCTATTGAAGTGCCTAATGAGTTTTCATGGACTAGCCTAATGCTGGGCTATGTTGAAACACAGAGAAATGACGAAGCTTTTCAATTGTATCATATAATGCTGTCATCATGTTCAACTAAACCAAATGAGTACACACTTGTTGCTGCTCTACAAGCTTGTTCCGGTCTTTCAGAAAGATGGGAAGGAAAGCAAACTCATTGTTTTATCATAAAGATGGGATTTTTCTTGCATGCCTATGTAGAATCTGCTTTGATTGTAATGTATACGAAGCATGGTTGCATGGATGATGCATCTCTAATTTTTTTGAATTTAGTGGTGATGGATGTTGTTTCGTGGAGTACAATGATAGCATCCTATACTCAACATGGAGATGCGGAGAAAGCCCTGCACACCTTCCTGCTGTACAAAGAGGAAACTTCATATATTGACGAATCTATCATTTCTAGCTGCCTTTCAGCCTGTTCAAGTTTAACTTCAATTGACATGGGAAGATGTATCCATGAAAGCTGTGTTAAAATTGGATATGATGCCAACTTACAGGTTAGTGGAGCCATTCTGGATATGTATTGCAAATGTGGGAGCATCGAGGAAGGCAATCAGTTCTTCAATGAAATGAGAGAACATAATGTGATATCTTATACGGCAATGATTTCCGGATATTCACAACACGGGCTTGTTCTGAATGCTCTTCACTTGTTTGAGGAAATGAAGGAACGTGGTGTTAAGCCTGATGGAGTAACTTTTGTTGAAATTCTTTCTGCATGCAGCCATTTTGGGTTGTTGAAAGAAGGATGGGAATACTTTGAGTCTATGACAGAGTATGGTTTGGAGAAAACAATGAATCATTATGCCAGTATGGTTGATCTTCTTGGGCGGGCCGGGCATTTGGAGAAAGCAGAAGATTTGATTAACAATGCACAATTTCCTTTGAAGACCTCTTTGTGGAGAACCCTACTTGGTGCATGCAATAAGCATGGGGATGTCAAAAATGGTGGGCGGATAGCTGAAATAATTTATAGGTCTGAGCCAAATAATACATCAAATTATGTGATGCTTTCAAACATTTTTGCATCCAATTCTAAGTGGAACCATTCCTTTGAGGTTAAGAGCAAAATGAAACAAGAATTTATGAGGAAAATTCCAGGATATAGCTGGATAGCTTAGGTATGTTTACACGTAAAGTTCCTATATAGAATATAAATAAAATGATATTGCTCATTCCAATTAGTAATTTTGCATTCAAGAGGCGTTCCATGTTATAGCCCTGCTGCTTTTGCTTCAATTCAAATAAAAAAAATGAAGTAGAAATAATACGCTATCTTTTCTTCTGAGGTTCAAACCATTTTTGGCTGCTGCATTTTGCGTTTTGATGCATGATCTGTAAGTGTATAATCTTCCATTCATTCTTCGGTTGTTTTTAAGTCTCAAATGTCAGGCAACACTGTTGAAGTTTACAGATACCACCAAATTTGTAGCCACACCTTATTCAAGTTTCATTGAAAAGGCATTTACCCAGATATCCTGTCTCCCAAAATATCATCTCTTTTTATTTCAGCATTATGATGCTTAACTTACCGAAGGTTGCCAAAATTTTTTAATAATGTGCTGCATTTTTCTGAGATGATTAAATAAACGCTAGTGCTTGTTCACCTTGAAATGATATATAAAAGAGTATGACATTACAAGTATTATACATCTCGCAGACATTTTAAGAATCAAATATCATAAATCAGCAAGTAATTGTGTTATCTTAAGAAATTGGCATCTAAAATTTGCTTAGCATGATGCAGAATTTAGTTGCACTATCAATGATTTTCTCTATTGTTAATGTGGCAATGGGGACGGTATGTTATGCTACTTTGCTTGTGTGATTTATTTGTCCCTTTTTTTTCTCTATTTGTTTTGACAATAATTCATATTCTATCCTCTGTATATATGGTGATGGAATATGCTAAAATGGTATCTTATATTTGCCATTATTTTACTTAAAAATTATGTTTATGATTAATGGTGGAGTAGACCAATGAGTGGTGGTAGAATTGAAAGAGATTGAAGGAGAAACTCTATCAATAATAAGGTAAAGCATGAATTACACATAGGCCCCTAAAGTTTAGATCAAATGTAATGTATTTCACATTTTTTAAAACACCAAGGCCCCTAAAATCTTTGAGATTAAGTTATATTATATTTAGGTTCCTTTGGTGTTTTTCTGGTTTTAAGCTTCTTTATTACGTTTACGTTGCAAGCTCATTTGTGAGACCTTAGTGAGATAATAAAAGGCGTAAAAATAAAAAGAATCTATTGTAAGATGTATTGCAACTATTGATTTTGTAATTATTCTTATCCTTCCCGTAGTTTTTTTTTGAGTTCCTTGCCTTGTGAGGGTTTCTTTATAAGGCTCTAACTTGCATTTATGAAGAATTTTTTGTAGCTCTCATATTTTGCTTTCATTTTGTGCTTTTTTATATATTATCTTAATAGAAAATCAGAAAAATATCTGTTAAGATTTACATTTTTTTTTCTATTTAAAGGGCTCACATCTGTTAAGAGTTTCATGGAAATGTTATGATTTATATTTCTTTAGAGTTTTTTTCTTGGTTTACATCTGCTGAGTGTTTTATTTTTCTTTTTCATAGAGTATTTGTCATTTTATCCTTTAAAATTTATCATTTTTCCTTACTAAAATTTTCATCTATAGTGAATAATATCCAGATCTAAAAATGATTGGAAAGAATTAAGGTCCAATAATAGTTGCCTTTAATTTTTCAAGAAGTTTTTTCCTGGCTCACATCCGTTGTATATGTTTTATTCTTCTTGATCAATAGTTATATGTTGTTCAATCCTTAAAGCTTTGGTTTTTCTTCTCTTTTTTACCAAAATTTCTTCCCATAATGGATCATATACAATTCTAATAATTTGGGAAGAATATTATGATTTGATATAATGAGTAATATCAATTTATTGGTGATGCACAAATTTATATGCTTAATTTGGATGATATTAGCATATTATTAGTGCCTAGTTGAAGATTATGGACCTTTATAAAATGTAAACAAAATCTAAGGATTTAATTCAAGCACTTTTACTCATTTTGAGTACATGAAGTGTGTTGAATTATTCATGGATCGGCTTGCTATTAACTTGTAAGGGAAAAATTTAAAATAAAATGAGTGAAAGTTTACTCATCCAAAACTCTTGGAGCCATTCATATGCAAAAAGTGAAATCTCTCATTAAACTCAAAACAATGAAACTTAACCTCTCTCATAGTTGTGTTTTTAAGAGCCTCAAAGCATGAATGAAAAAAAAGAGGTGTTTGTGGCTGAGAATGCTAAAGGATAATTGAAGATAGAAATTCTTTATTAAAAAAAGATAAAGACTCTAAATTCTTATGCTTTGAAATAGCAAAATAATAAGGAAAGAAAGTAATAAAATATAATAAATTTTACTAAAGCGTTATTCATGTTATTTTTCTCCAGCTAATGGAATGCATCTAATTTGGGCTGAAATTTCTAATATTGAAAATTTTAATGTGATTGCAAGCTACACAACCTATATTTCTTTTGTGTGTAAAGAAAAAAAGAGTAAGGATTAATTTGATTGTTGTAACAATCTTTCAAGGTCCGAGTTTTCATTCAAGCCCAGGCTATCAACTAACAGAGTAGCTCTTAAGCTGCCATCTCTAAGAATAGTATTATATTGTAAGGAATCAATTCACTACCTCTTGTATTTCTTGAAAAAGGTCTTGAAACTTAGAAGAGCATATCACCTGTTTATTTCTTAAATTTATGGATTAGTGTTTTCTGGGTCAAATATAGTTTTCATGTACTCCTCAAATTGTGAATACATTGATTATTTTTTTATCATTGGACTTAGAGTATTGAATTAAACTTGATTAAGGACTTTACTAAGGATATTAATAGTTTTGGAGTTTGTTGGAGCATGTATCATCTTAAAAATTACCTTTTCAATTTTTTCTCTTATGAAACACCAAGAGGCTTAACTGACCAAACCATCCATACATTTAACATATTTTTAGTTAGTTTTCTATTTGTTATTAGCAAGTAATTGAAATGTAGGATGTTCTTCGTACCATTCAATGAGTTAATCCCTAGCTTATATTTTTTTCTGCAACTCAATATGATTAAACCGTTCAAAAAGTCAAGAGAACATTTGTAATACAACTTGCTAATGTCCAGGAGCACTAGAAGAACTTGGAGGCTCTTCTAAAGATGTGCTAGCACTTGATAGGTCATTTGAGGACATTACGATAGAATTTCAAGAGAGAAATCTCTAATGTTAAGGACTTGGAGCTAATTGTAGCTTGAGCTACCCTAACATAATGTCTCCATGATAAGCCTTTTTGTTATGCACTTGGCTTACTAGAGATAAAGAGCTGCTAACAACCATCCAAAAAGAGAAGAGTTATAATATTGAGATGATAATATTATTTTTAAGACAATCTTGAGAATAAGACCAAGTAAGGAAGTAAATACAATCTCCCGGAAACTAACATAACAAACCCAAAGTCTCGAGGCTTGAAGATGCTCATCTTCAACCTATTCAACTTACTTATCACCCTCAATGAGTTAACTACCAATTGAGGCGAGTATAGTTTGAATGGCATGATAACCAAAGGAGGAGGAAGAGGTTATTGCCATCACCACCTATTTTTATTCTTCCTGCTATCAATATGATGTAGGTGTACATGGTTGAATTAATTGAGACACATCATAAAACATATTTCTATGCCTAATACGAATAAAGGTTGACATACATATATAAGGGATATGATGAATTAATTTGTCTTCTATAGAACATGATACAGTGAGTTGTTAACATCATAAGAACAAAGTGGAAGAGCCAAGTAAAGTTGGAAATATGAAAGATTTCATCTTAACTGACATAGGAAGTAATATGACTTGTAGCTAATTATGGTCGTGCATTGACATTGTGGGATGAGTTTTACTAACTTGAATCTAAGGAAAAGAAGAAAGCATTGTCAACTAAAAAGGTGACTAGAAATAATGAGAACCTTAATGACATTTGCGAAAGTGTTGAAACCATGCCTCTTGTTAAGCTCAAAATAATGTTTTTTTGAACTCTTACCATACATTTCATATATTTTAGGCCAACCATCTGGCTACTCTTTGTCGACAATGAACTGAAATGCAAATTGTTATACCCTTCAATGAGTCGGTCTTTAAGTTTTTTTTGTCTACTTTTCTATATGAGTATATCATTCGCTAGAGTCAAGAGAATGTTCATAATATAATTTGTCAATGTCCAAGAACACTAGAAGAACTTGTAGGCTCTCTTAAAGCTGTGTCTAGCATCTGATAAGTCACTTGAGAACTTTGTGATGGGATTTAATTGACAAATGTATAGGGTGAAGGACGTAGAGCAAGATGTCGCTTGAAAACCCTATCTCAATGTCTTTATATTGACGATTTTTCTACATAATTGACTTTCTACAAAAAAATACCCTAACGGAGTTACTCAAATTTATTAGCTATCACCCAAATATTGAGTAGTATAACGATGAGATGGCAATATTATTTTTATGATAACCTTGATGATAAGATCAAGTAAGAAAATTAAGGCAATATCCTAAAAAGCAGCATAATAACTTGAAAGTCCTAAAACTTGAAGCTACTCATCTTCAACCTATGCAACAACCTTATTTTTGTTGGTGAGTTAACCCAAAAGTGAGGCGAGTTTGGCTTAAAAGACATGAAGATCATAGAAGGAAGAAGAGGTTACTACTATCACTACCTTTTCATTCTTTCATATTATCACTGTCTGATGTAGGTCCATGGTTGGGTTAATTGTGTCCTTCCACCATAAAGAATATTTTTATGCATAATACAAATGAAGGTTAAACCGTGCATGAGGGATATGATAAATTATTGTGATTTATGGTAGGACCAAGACCATGATATGAAGTGTTGTCACCACCTTGACAACTTAGTAAAGACCTAATTAATGTTGGAAACATGAAATAGTTCATCTTGACTTACCCAAGAAGAAATATTAGGAACCAATAGATAATTAAGGGTGAACATGGATATTATGGGATGAGATTTATTTTTCATAATCCAAGGAAATGGAGTTGACCCCTAAACATTGTCAACTAAAATGGGGAGTTGAAAGAATGAGATCTTAAATAAATTGTTTTTTGAGATTGTTGACCAAGGAAATGGAGTTGACCCCTAAACATTGTCAACTAAAAAGGGGAGTTGAAAGAATGAGATCTTAACTAAATTGTTTTTTGAGATTGTTGACCTCATTTTTAGTGAGGTTTAGTCTTCCTCTTAGGGTTTAGGATCTAGCTTTAGGGATCTCCCTTTGACTATCTTAGAGCCTTAGAAATGGGGCCCACCTCGTCTTAAGAAATTGAACCTACTTCTGCACCCTTTTGGAGTTTCGCGTGTGTGGTATCGACTTCTAGCACTTAGAAGGGTGAAACCAATATGAGGAAACCCAAAAGGAATTCCTATAGGACCTTTTGA